GGGCAGGACCGCGGGGCGGACGGATGCGTGCGTGCGTGAGCGCTTGCGAGCGTGTGCTTCAACTTCCGTGCGTCGCGGCCGAGACGTCGACTCTTGCCTTGCACGCACGTTCCCCTCTCAGCCGCTGCCCCCCGGCCCCTCCCATGCAGCCGCAGCTTGCACGCCCTCTCACCATGTCAATTGCCCCCCCAACCCCCAACACACCCACACACACGCACACACCCACCCATGCGCGTGCGCAAACACACACACACACACACACACTCACACACTCTCAAACATTGAACATCCACCCCAAGAAGCACGCGGCCCCCCGTCTTATTCCCACACCTTTGTGTCGAACACGCAGCCCTCCACCAGCTCGCTGTCGTCGATGGTGCCCCCCACCTTGGCCACCACCTTGATGTCACGCAGGTCAAGCCTGGGGGTGGGGGTGGGGAGAGTGTGTTATGGGTGTGTGTGTGGGGGTGAGTGTGTGTGTGTGTGTGGGAGGGAGGTCAGTGTGTGTTTGTGTGTGTGTGTGTGTGTGTTTGGGGGAGGTGAGGAAGAAGCGCGGGGGGCTACTGGCAGCAAAGTCTGGGGGGTGAAGGGGGCTTGGCCGAGCAAGGGGCTACGTTCGGCGTTTGGGGCGCCGCGTTTGGCGCGCCGCGCACATGTTTGGCCGCGAGGGGTCCATGACGCGCAGCACCGCCTCCACCGCCATGGGCGAAAGCAGGGAGCTGTACTGAGACACCACCTTGCTCGACAGGGACCTGGGGGGGGGGGGATGTTGAGCGGTGCAAGGATGCGTGGGTTGGACGGGGACAAGCACACTGCTCTCCAACAGCCGAGCCGACCGCCCTGGCGATCCCCATCTTACCTTCGCCCGAATGACTTCTCGCCGCCACCCAACAGCCCCGCAACTGCCCTGTACCTGCCCTGAGACCCCCCGTACAGCCCCTGTCCAGCCGCCCCCAACCGCCCTGCAATCGCCCCCCAACCGCTCCCAACCGCCCCCAACCGCCTCACGTGGTGGCGGCCCTGATGAGCGCGTCCTTGTCCCCCAGGTCAACGGGCGTGGCGACGGACTCCAGGACCTGCCACGTCAGCATGCAATTTGAGGGGGGGCCGGTGACGTCATGGGTGCGAGGGCGGCTGACACCAGCTGCTGGCGAGCCGAGGGCGGGGGTTGAATGGGGTCGGGGCCGGCCCCGTGCGCTCGCGGCCGTTTGCGCCGCGCCTGCCGCTGCCGCCCGCGGCGTCCGCGGCCTGGCCCTATCGCGGCGCAGGGGCGGGGGGCGGCCGCGCCGCACCTCGTTCGCCTTGGCCACCGCCTTGCTGAACGCGTCGCTGATGACCGTGGGGTGCACGCCCTTGGCCAGCAGCTCCTGGGCCTGGATATTTATGGGATATTTTGGGGGCGTGTGTTGAATACAAGATCGAGGCAAAACCACGCCGCTGCCGCCACCACAGCCGCCGCAGATTGGCTCCAGCGCCACAACCCACCCTAGCGCCCGCCGCTGCGCAGGGACGGGGGCGCCGCGTCGTGGCCGGCGCAGTCAACGTCAGCGCGCGTCACCTTTTTGAGCAGCGCCCCGCAGATGACGACCACGCTGGTGGTGCCGTCGCCCGCCACCACGTCCTGCGGCCGCACAGCCCGGGGAAAGCGGACGCCGCCGCGGCCGGAGCGGCGCAAAGGGGGGGCCGTCAGTGATGTGCGATCGCAGGCGCTGGGCAAGACTACAAGACGCCACACAAATTGTTAAAGCTTGCCGCTGCAGCGGCCGTCTGGCTTGCCGAGCCATGAAGGTTCGCCGCGCTTTGCCCTGGGGACCCTCCGCCGCACCCCTGCCTCGACTCCATGAGTACATGCGGTGGACCATCTCTCAACAGTTCCCTCCAGAACCAAACGCCCGCAAGCCCCGCCAACGGCGCTCGACAGAGAGACCAGCTGGCGCCCCTCGCCGCCGCCGGGCGCCCCGCCGCGCCCGGCGTCCCCGCCCCATTGTGGCATGGTGCGGCCACGCCGGGCGCCGCCTGCGCGGCCCTCGGCAGCGGGCGCCCGGCCGCCAGCCACCTCCCGCCAGGGCAACAGGAACAAGCGGATCCCTTCCCCTTACACATAAACACATGTGCAGACACACACACACACACACACGCACACACATACTGACACATACGCGCAAACACACATTGTCTGCTGTCTGTCACACCCTAACACCACCCTGGGCCCTGGGGTCGTGACAGCAGGCCACCCACCTGGCTCTTGGCCAACTCGACCAGCATCTTGGCCGCGGGCTGCTGCACACTCATCTTATTGAGGATCGTCGCGCCGTCGTTGGTGATGAGCACCTCACCGTTGGCGGACGCGACCTGGGAGGCGCGCGAAGCGAAGGGGGTGTGCGTGCGGCGGTCGGAGGGGCTGCGCCCGGTGCGGGCCGGCGCGAGGCGGACTGCCCGTTCGAGCGGTTGCCCCGTGCTGCGCCGGCCGCTGCGGTGACCCGACTTTACTTGGCAGCCGGCTCGCCCTGCGCCGTCTCCGCACAAGCCAAAGAGCTGCGCCACGCTGTGCCACTGTTGCTGCCGCTGCTGCTCCAAAGCTGCTGCTCGCCAGCAGAGCAGGGCGCTTGCCTGCCTCAGCCCATGCTCAGGTCGAAAGGCCCGCACCATCTTATCGAGGCCGCGCGGCCCCAGCGATGTGCGTACAGAGTCCGCCACTGCCTTGGCAGCCTCTATGTTGAACTCCCGAACGTCCTTCTTCTTGGCATTGTCCCTGCATCGCCGGCAGGCAAGCGGCGGCGAGGCAGCGGCGGCGAGGCAGCGGCGGCGCGTTGCGCGCAGGGGTGGAGCGCTACCGCGACACTAGCTCCACTCGCAGTGACTTGCAAGCGCGGCAGATCACTGTAAAAGTCGATTGTGATGCATGCCGCACGCTCCCGTTCGCCACGACTTCGCTGTGCGCGCTCTCGACGGCTTCCCGCCTGTGATCACGGCCTGTCAGCCGTCTCCACTGGCCTATGACTCACACAAATCTCTCTCCTCTCTTCGCGCCGCCCCCTGCTGCCGAGGGTGCCGTGGCTGTCGCCATGCTGCCGTGCTCACGCTGCGCAGGTTATGGATCTAGCAGCAGCTTGATAGCGGAGGAGTTCGACTAAGATTTACTCGGCAACCTATGTGACTGGCGGCTTGGACACGCCACGGAGGCCGTAAGGAGTTGGCGCGGCCGAAGTCAGATCAAGTTGATCAGAAGGTTCTTCCCGAGTGTCATCTGTATCACCGTACACGCAGGCGTTATGTGCAATGAATACGTAAAATCATCACGAACATTCCCCCAAAACCCCATGAACGACGCGACTGTCATGTATGCCGGCATGCCCATGTTGCCGCCGTCAACCAAGAGTTGACCCCGCATAGCTTGCTGATGCTCACAGGCCCGGCTGTTACCTCCAGCGCTCAGATACGATGGCGCGTGTAAGATCAATAGTAATTTGTTTGGCACAACCCTGCTGTCGTAGCTGGGTACGGCCCGACCCCGCTGCACACTGCACCAGAGGGTAGCTCTGCAGGGGCACGCCACGTTTATTCCCGGTCTACGCCGCCCACGCGACGCCTACCCCACGCCTGCCCTTCCTGGAGCCGTCATGCGTTGATCCCCCACGGCTGCCCCCGCGCACAGCAACGCCACCTCTTCCCCCCGCACTCCCTGCCCGCCTGAGCGCGAGTCTCGATTACAAGGGCCGACCCTCTCCACACCCCCACCACCTGCGGGCCGCGCGAGCCCCGACACCCCCGCGTGAGAGGGGGTATCGGGGCTCACGCGCGGCGCCGACGGCGCGGCGCACGCGGCGCCGACGCCCCTGTCCGGGCAGCGCCCGCCCCGCGTCCCCGACCGCCTCGCCACCTATTACTTGCTGCCGGCCCTCTGCCGCAGCTGCACCTCCTCCCCGAGCAGCATCACGCCGTTCCCCGTGTAAGCGTTCGGCGGCCGCACCGCGCGCAGCGCGGCGGCGGCGCCGGTGACTTGCGCCTTGTCCACTCCATACAGGTACACCAGCGTGGGCTTCAGGAAAAAAGCGACCACGCCCTCGGGCAGCTTGTATATGGCGGCGTTGGTGAACCCGACCTTTTCGGGCGGAGGGGAGGGTTCCACGGGGGCGGCGGGGAGGCGTATGGGCGCAGGGCGGCTGGGGCGAAGCCTACCGGGCATCCCGCCGGCTGCGCTCGGTGCCGTCGGACAACGCCATTCAGTATGTGCAAATGTGCACACAGGCATGAGACACATGCACGCAGATACGTGCATGTATGCGGCCGCGAAGGGCAGGCGGCGCTCCAGGAGAGGGCGCGTCCTCGGGCCCGCGCCCACCCCCCGCCCGCCGGCGCCCTCCCCGCAAACCGCAAGCGCGCGGCACGCGCGCCCCACGACCAAGAAGCGCCGCACCTTCAGCCTGACGACACGCGACGGCTGCTTGTGGGGGTACGCTACGTTGACCTTCTCGCCGCCGGGCTCCCAGTACAGCGCCCGCCGCGACGGCGGCGCGCCCGGCGGCGCGCGGATCGCGGCGCAGCTGTCGGCGGGCTCCATCCTGTAGCCGACGCCCTTGACTGTCACGCCGACAAGATAGCCCTGGGTGCGTGGCAGTGATTGGGGCGACGCAAAACGCGTCAGATCCACAAAAAAAAACTTTGGCGGAACACAGCAGGTTTGTCGTGGACACAGGCGAGGTGTGGGTTACCTGGCCAAGGGGTTGCGACGGCTTTGCTGCAAACCAAAAACAGGGAGTTACGGCGCGTGTGGGTGGCGCTGCACCGGGGCCGCGCGCTCAAAAGGGGCGCAGGGCGCGGCCAAGGGCAGGGCTGGTGCGGGCGCAGGCGCGTGGCTGCTGGCAAGCAGGGCCCACCCCCCGCCTGCGCGCTGCCTTTGCACCATCTTCGCACGCGTTCTGCGTCCCCCTGTCATGACCGTTTGCCTCCCGAAACCCGACCCCACCGCCCACCTGCCCGCTCGCCCACAAAACCCACCCAAATCCCTCACACTCCAACACCCAACCACACACCCAGACACTCATTCCCACACACACCCTACAAAAGAACAGTTGACGATGCACGCGCGTGCGCACACACACACACACACACACACACACACATGCGCGCGTGCGTGAACGCACGCACGCACCGTACCTCACCCCAATCGCCCGCCCGACAACCCACACCCCCCCCCACACACACACACGCACGCACACACACACACACACACGCACCACAAACACACAC